GGATAGCAAGTGTACAATTGTTCAAGTTTGTTAAGTTGTTTGTTGAGGTACACGGAATTAGAGGAGAAAACCCTTGGATGATTTCATCACACATTCAAACAACCAAAAAAGGTCCGACTCTTCGTCGTAATTTTCATAAGAACAGCCACAATATCACTAGATGTTATTTCTTCCATTCACACAACACTCAGAAACAAACTTCATCCCTTGGCCATACATGATTTTCATATTAAACATCGTTGCAGACATTAACACGTTTGTCAACAACTTCAGGCCAAATGAATCGTCTGCTTTAAACATCGGATCGTCTCTATCTGTCCGTTTGACATCTTTCACTGTGTGATAAGTACATTAATTTTTCAACTATTTTAACATCATGAAAATGAAATAACAAACTGATTTGGTCTTCTGTCTTCACAAACTCGTCCCAGTTCTCTTTCATTTCGGGAAGGACGTTTGTCCATGTGCTTTTGATTTTTTCATAGTCTTCTTTTCTTTGCTCGTCCCATTCCATCCGTTCCTTTTGTGTGTTTTTTCCCTCATAAAACCCCAAGCAAAGTTTCCACACAAATTCCCTCACTTCATTCTCGCACCCCCTATACAACAACACTTTTCTGATTGTATTCATATTCGACGCAGTTATGAATCCTCTTTCATCCATCAAAGATTGTAAAAACTTTCTTGTGATCGGGGCCATGACATCGACATGTTCTTTAACCATTAGGCTCTTTCTTTTCTGAACAAGTGATGGGTTTGTCAGTCGCAAATACGCCTTTTTGTGGAACAAAGCTGCGTCGGTTCGCATTTCAAATTTGTGTGTGACGATGTATCGTGTCTTTCTTGTCTCGTCTTTGGTGATGGTTGAGTTGGAGTTGTTTTTCATTGTTGTCATGAACGAGTCGAACAATTCTTTCTTCCCACAAAACTCAAATATTGGAATTTTCATGGGGAACCGGTTTTGTTGTACCTCAAAACTGAGAAGCATAGATGATTTCTCCGGCTTCACATAAAATGCTACAATCTCTCTGAATGGGATGTTAATCTTATAACTCTGAATATCGACTGTCCCCGTGTCTTTTGTAATTAGGGTTTTGAATGTTACAGTATTACGAACGTCAATGGGAAGGTAACTAATAAACAATTGATTTCTCTTCTACTCTTCAGTTTTGATTTCAACAAATAATTGATAACTTGATATCGATGCCTTATTTGAAACAAACTTTGAAAAGACAAAGTACCCCAGTGATACGTTTACTGTTTTGGAGGTTGACGCACACATTATCGTACAGACCAAGGTCGCTATACCCCTCATCGTCTTCGGCTGGTTTCTGCTTTTTGGGGGTTTCGTCGTTCAAATCAATTGAGTCTGTCGAGCTGTCATCTTTTGTTTTCTTTTTTTGAAATATCACAATCTCGTCAGTGACAACAGGAGTCGTTTTAGCTGTGTTGCTGCTCATTGCGACCTGTGTTATTTAGCGTTCTTGTGCTTTTTTTTTAAATGAAAATCTTTTAAAGTTCTTTCTATAAGATTATTTACTATTGTTTACTATTTATTGATATTAACAATTTCACAAAATGTTTGTTTTTTTGTTAAAATTTAGTAATAACTTCTTATAATTATTTTTTAGGTTTTTATACTAAAACTAGAAACAACTTGGATTTTACTATATCTTTTTCAATAATTGTACCATTACAAAATTATATTTTAATACACACAAATAATACAATTTTTTGTATTAATTTAATTATATAATAAAATAATGGTTTTATATATTTTTGTCTACTATTTTTTTTGTATTAATATTTTATAAAGTTTTTGACATATATTGAAGCAAAACAGTATGCGTGATTATAGTTGAAAATTAATTTTTTATTATAAAAAATACAAAAATGAAATAATAAAAAAACAAAAAGTCATAAAGCCAATGTAATTTTTTAAAAAAAGGTACAATACAACTATTTTCATATAAAAGCACACAAAAGGTTAGCAAAAGGTTTTGTGGACTTGATATTTTCTGTTGTTTTGAAAAAACTAAGAATGCCGTCAGTGCGTTTCAAGTATAAACAGATAATTACCTTCCCCAAGGCGTGCAAGTTAAAATTTTTTGTCTTTTTTACAGGGAAAGGGCGTGCAAGACTAAATTTCAGTTGAAAAACATTTTATTTTAAAATGTTATTCGTTTCAAAATTGTTTCACAAAACAGACAACCCTTTGTTGCTTGAATTAATAAACTACAAAAAGCAAATTAAATATAAAAATTGGGTAATGGTTTGTCTATGTGTTTAATGTAAAAACTTTTTTGTTTATAAACGTGAATAATTGTCGATGTCTCTTGTCTCAGCGTAATTCAAAGTGACAAGAAGAAGTATGACAAACATTAAGTTTTTCTCTGTGCCATTTTATAGCAAACAATAACAAATAGTCTGTTTAAAAGGTGCAGTTCATTGTTACAAATCGATGTGTACTGTTGTCCAGAACTGGTCCTTCGATAATTTCCATTTGGTCGCTTCCCCGAAATTGTTGCTAAATTTATTGTATTTGAAGTGTGAAAGTTAAAGTATAGTTTAGTATTAACTTCAAAATTATAATTAATAATTAAACCAAAAATATCTTTTTTTTCAAAATTTCAAAAAATGAATAATTTTATTTTTTGATAAAATATTATGAATGAACTATACCTTAACTTGCACACATTGGGAAGTCACTTTATTTGAATTTTCATCCACTTTTTTTAATTATGAAAAAACAGATGTTGATTAAACATAGTAAACATAAAAATTAACTATTTAAAATAATTATATTTTATCAATATTATAATATAATAATTTTTGACAAAAAATTAATTTTAACTAAACTAACTAACTAACCCAAATTGATAAGATCAATAAAGGACTCCGACTTCAATAAAGAACACTTCTTTGAACACTCAAAATGATAATTAAAAAAACACCCATCTAAACAATGAAACTGATTGTTTGGACACTTTTGTTCATGTAAAAAGAACTGAATTCAGATGCATTACTTGCTCCCATAAAGGATTTAATGTTTGGTGTTGTTATGAACACTTCCACGCAATATGTATCAATTGTAAACAAAAAAAATAAGTGTAGTTTTGATTATTTTTTTATTTTATTTTTTTGTATAAAAAGAAATAATAAATAGTATTTTCCAGTTGGTCCCAAAGGGAGGGGATAGAAAATAAGTGAATTTGAATCAGTGTTCTAAGGTTAAATTAAATTAAAAGTTTTAATTTTGTCTATTGAATTCTTTATTAACGAAATAACTGGACAACATTAAAAAAAGTTAATAAATGTGAACTATATAATTAGATAAATAATTTAAGTCTGTCTATAAACGTTATCTGGTACCTTTTGGACCATAAATATTGGAATATTTCGGGAAACCATCACAAAAATCCATCCCAATTGTTTTGGGTTTTTTCACGTTTTAACTAATGCCCGATGTTTAGACAAAATTAAAGCTATTTTATATCCACCACATAAGGTCAAATGACTGACTCTATTTTATTTTTTTTCAATAATTTAATCAAAATTTACACATATTTTTTTCATTGAACATAAAAATATGAATTTCTCTTTTGAGTATATCATACTTCTTGATAATAACATTAACGTGATTATTATCATCTAAAAGTCGATAATATATATTGTTGTGTCTTCATAACAAAATATAATGAGAATTACAAAATCATTTAATAATGATAATCATATAAACTTTTTAATTGATACTCATTTGAAAAATTACAATGGTTCAGTATATACAAAAATTGGTTTTAGCGTTTAGAGTCAATTTTGAAAGCAAGTACATAATAACTATATTATTAATTTAATTCGGTTTTTATTTACGAAATAATCATTTAGTATCTATTTTCTTTTTTTTTAAATAAATACCACAACTTAAAAAGTCATCAAAACATTATAAAATCATTTCACGATTACACCTTCAATTACAAAACAGTAAGACTTGATGCAAGCCCCACTTGGCAGCGACAGTTCAAACAATGACAAACAAAAACACGAGAAAGGGTTACCAAATTCTTCACAACAACATACCACTTTTGAAAAAAAAGAAAAGAGCAGAAAACCTCATAAAATAGAAGTGGACCACGTTGATGAAAAAAAAACCACGAATGAGTTTACGATCAAAGTCTGAGTTAAAAAAGAACATCACCAATGAAGAGTTTGTGTTGGCCATAAAAACAAATGATTTAATTAAATCAAGTCAAAGAAAACAAAAACTAACACCCATGTTTGTTTTGTAATAACATTTTATTGTTACTTAAAAACTTACAACAAGCAAAAAATTACAATTAAAACAGCAAGTAAAGCAAATAGTCGATGAGTTACGGACACAAATAGAATATATGAAAAAAAAATGGAACCAACTAATATATTTTGTAACGTTTATTTGTGTATTGATTTATTGGTGTTATGGTTTTTGTAACAGATTTTTTTTTGCAAGTTTTGGATTTTTTAAGTGGTGATATGTAATTAAAAAGGTTATAATTTTCATTGTTGTAATTACATATTTTTGAATAATATGGTAAACAATTTTGGGAATTTGTTTTATCTTTGATCAAAAAAAACATAAGTTTTTATATATCTCCAACTTTGTTGTCCCA